ACTCGATGGCAAAAGGAATATTTGACAAGTCTGCGTGAATATAACTCTTATCAAAAGAAAACATCAAACAAGACAGCAGTTGCTTTAGGAGACGTTGTTCTCATACATGAAATGTACCACGTAATCAGTGGAAAATAGGTGTCGTTACTGATTTACATAAAGGGAAAGACGGATTAGTCAGATCTGTATCTTTAAGAATAAGCTCTGGTAGTGAACTATTAAGACCTATAGAGAAGCTTTATCCACTGGAAGTGTCGAGCGAGAACAGTGCACAAGATATTGAAAAGGAAGACAAAGAAGCTATAGCCGATAAACAACGTCCTCCAGTACGACTTGCCGCTCAGAAGGCAACTCATAGAATCCGGGAACAATCAGAAATGAATACCTGACATGAACGATATCAAGATTAATTACGATACTATTCTTAAACATTTATCCTTTGCTAATAATTCCATATTGTTTCTTATCTATTCGGCCCGGGAGAGTGTCATAAATTATGTAATTATGAAGTCACAATGTGTGCGATGTTCTGAGATTTACAAATAAAGAAAACAGGTTCCTTGACCACCGTGATATTACGTCTTTACTATAGTTGTAACACTGAATCAGTTTTCTAGTTATTACTTACCAAGAATTGAATGCCTTGAAATAAAATTCCGGTCGGAGAGCTGCTTCCTCTGAATTTTAACTCGGACTAGTCAACAAGAAATCCACCAGTCACAGATTCAATACAGCTTCTTCTCACTTTATCACCATTTTATAATGTCTATGTCGGAAAATGAAAGACTTAGTTTTGTCTAAAAAAGACATATTTCCTTATTCGCATAGGCTTATTTTCATATTTTAATTTCAGTTTCTTACCGATAGCGTTTCCTGATACGATTGTAATTATTTTATTATAAAACGTGTTCTTTCATGTTTATTAATGGATCCAGCTTTTGCATTGCACAAGTTGGAGTATTTTCAAGATCTTCAAGTTCAAGTTTAAGAATTTCGGCCTCACAATTCTCGCTCTCGTGCAACTACAACCAGAAAATGTTCATACGTATATGTTAGAAACTAGGAAAAAAATGATAGAACTGGGAAACTTTACTGAGCAAAAGAATCAAGTTTTACACCGGCGAGTCATATGTCTTTTATATATAAAAATGAGATAGTTCCCTTCACTTTCAGTTGTCGTGATGGTGCGAAAGACAAATTTAATGGCACGTGGTTTGATCACTACGAAAACTGAATAACGCGGGTAAAATTTTCCAGAAAATGGAAATTTAATTTCTTGCTCGAAGGAGGAAATGTGGAATGT